GACCCTACCGACGTCAGTTCCCATGTTGCCCTGAATGCAAAATTGGGTATCGACCCCGAAAATAGCGTCCGTAGAGATGTTCGATCAGCCGGTCAGAACTTACAAGGCGGTGAAGAAGGCGGAATCAGCCTTCGAATAATATTCGAAATACTGCAAGCTCAACAAGCTGCAATAGCACAACTTCAAAATCAGAACCACGCACCGAGTAGGGTCGAACCCGAGCCATCACAGGAAGTTGTTCACAGGGCCGACAATAACCAGAGTTCGGATAATTACCCCCATGCTCGGGAACTGTCATCCGAAAAATAAACGAGATCGAATTATTAAAACTCTGAGATCATAAGACCTTTTAGGCAATCCTCGATTTTTATAGACCACAGCCACCCCACTCGGGGACTGACACTTCGGGCAAGCTCGAAGTAAAACGGGAAAATAAGCCCAAGGGGAAAATCCCAAACTAAAAAGGCTACGGCCGAATTAACATGGTTCGGAGATGTCCGAATTCCGTAACAAACAGGCCTTCTAATTTCCTCATAAACTGGTTAAAAGGGCTACCCCCGGTAAAATAATAAAAGGTTTCGGTAATATCAAGCCTCGAAAACTCTAATGAGTACAAAATTGTTCGAACTCTCGAACAGTTCCTTATTGCATGCTAAGGCATTACAAGTTTTGCAAATACAAATGATAAAAAACTTTTTCAAGCCGAAAAGGGGAGAAAGTTATAAACAATCTTTTTACAAAGGCTCATCGGTCTAATACAAAAGCCTAAGGGCTTTTTTTGCTTTGAGTTCGAGAGATCATCCCCGCTCAAATAAAAAACCTAAAGGTTACCTTACTTCGAGTTCGAGCAAGCACTCACTCGATCATAAAACCTAAAGGCTATACTAGTTCGGTTTCAATCAAATTGTATAAACCTCGGACCTTAGAATACAACTTCATAATTTTATAAGGCAGAAAGAAAGAAAGTTTATATATATATATATGTCAAAAATCATTTACAATGGAACCATGGCCCGATCAAATTTCTCTACAAAAGAAACGATCTTAAAAGAAACACAAAAAATACTAATCCTAAAGGACTTAGTCTTCTCCGGGAGCAGCTTCTTCGCTCTCGAGGCGTTCTCCGCTTTTAGATCCGCTCATACTCCCAGAATCATCATCATCAGGAAAGGCTAACACTCTGGCTTAAGCTTCGAGCTCCTTAGCATTCTCGATCTCGGTTGTAAGATCGAAGCCATGAGCATGGATCTCCTCGAGAGTCTCCCTTCGAGACTGGAATTTAGCATGCTCGGCAACCCAGTTTTCTCGAGCCTGAGCAGCTTCGGCAACCTCCTTTGCTCGAACCTGAGCAGCTTCAGTGTCGGATAGGTAGACAGGCACCATTGCATCAGCATTAGCCTTGGCCGTTTCGACCTCCGATTTGGCTGCTGCAAGTTCTGTGGCCAACCTCTCTCGATCGGAAGTTGTTGAACCCAACCGAGATTGGAACTCCTCAATTTTCTTGACTTGCACCAAGGCCTTCTCTTTCAAGCTTCGGAGTTGGGTCTCAACCGAGGCCAGTTGAACTCGGGCAGCTTCCTTTTCTGAGGCAAGGCGGTCCATGTTCTTCTTCCATGCCTCGGCCTCCGCTTTCACTGCGTCCACTTCCTCACGAAGTTGTCCGATCACATCGAGTTTTCGCTGGACCTGTGGGACCGAACTGTTAGCCACCACGCCCGAGTCAGTGTTATTAACTTCAAAGATTCTTTTGACCTGCTCGGACATATCAGCTTGTTCTTTCTGAGCTACTTCTAGCTCAACCCGAAGTCCTTTTGCTTCCCCTTCTCTCTGCTCACTGAGAAGCTTGAAGGCATCTCTCTCCTCAGTAAGCCCTCGGTTTTCGGCTTCATACCGGCTTAGCTCCCCTCGGGATCGAAATAAAGCCTTGTGATGAAGCACAGAAGCCTACAAAAATAGAAAGAAGGAATTATATAAGGGGAGAAAAGTACAAGTATGAAAATTGACAAAGAAAATATGAACTTACCCGTTCAGGGCATGTTGGGCTTTGTTGAAAAGACAAGGCGCTCCCACCTCGTCCATCTGGGCTTGATCTTCTTCCGTGACCAAACGTCGGAGGTAGCTAGCCACCCCTGCGGGGGCAGCAAGAACCCGGGCATCCTCCGGGAGCGTGATAACGATTGTTCGCTTGCACGAGGGATCGGTACTAGGGGCCAGAAACTGATTGGTCAGTTTAAAACTCGAGGAAGCCTCGCCCGAACTCTTCTTCGGAACCTCCAAGTCACTCAGACTAGTGACACATTCTACCCCAACAAAATAACCACGGAAAGGATCTTCCTCTTTGTGGGCTCCTTCCCCGTAACAAGTCTCCACGGCCTGAGCGTCGTGTATCATCGACTCGGGAAATAAAGGAAACGAGGGGGAATACTCGATCTCTATTGCCCCGAGTGGGTATTTTGGGGCGCCGCCTCCGTCTTGGGAAGCCTCGAGCCCGGTTTCTGCACCAGCATCCACCACCTATTCAACGATCTCTTTGCCTCGAGATAAAGCATCTTTAGTTCCTCTCGGCTCGGAGACTTGGGCCGAACCCTCCTCCTCGACCTCATCGAGCCTATACGGAGTAGTATCAACTCCCACCAGTTCCGGAGTTCTCCGAATCTCGGTGCTAGTTCGCGCACAGGCCACCAGCCCAGAATCATCTTCTTAATCTTCTTCTTCTTCTTCTTCTTCTTCTTCTTCTTCTTCTTCTTCTTCTTCTTCTTCCCTTAGCCTTTGGACTGACTCCATAGTCAGTGGGATTGTGTTCCCCTTGGGTTTACGGGTTGTTCTCTTCTTGGGTTTTTGATCCTCGAAGTTCGAGGCCCTTTTCCTCTTATTCTCTTTCGCCGGTTTCGAGATAGGTGATGAAACTTCTTCATCACGGAACGGGGGTCTCATAGTCGCGTCCTTTACGAGACCTACAAAAGGAGAAAGTAAGTAAAATCATGTTTGAAAAGATGTTTGAACGATAGACAAATCGGTAAGTCAGGAAAAAGGCTTACCATGAGTACGAGCCTCCCACCGACCCTTTGACAAATCGCGCCATGCGCGCTCGGCGTGTGTTGACGTCGAAACCAGGCTCCTAACCCAGTTCTTGAGGTGGGGAACCGCACCCGGTATTCAAGCAACGACTGCATCGAGAATAACACTGATAAGAAATGATGAAGAAGTAAAAACAACGAACATAAATTAAAGACGGAATCATACTTACGTTTCATATTTCATTTCTCAGGAAATGGCATGCTTTCAGTCGGGATTAGGTCCGTGGTCTTCACCCGAACGAACCGGCCCATCCAGCCCCGATCTTTGTCTTCATCTATACTCGAGATAAGAGCCTTGGTGGCCCGGCGTTGAAGTTTTATCAGCCCACCTCGATAGAGTCGAGGGCTAAATAATCTTATGAGGTGGTCAAGGGTGAAGGGAAGCCCGTCGATTTTGCTCATGAAGAAACGGAGCAGTATCACGATCCTCCAGAAAGAGGAGTGAATTTGGCCGAGGGTCACCTGGTATTTCTTGCAGAAGTCTACGATGATCGGATCGAGGGGACCCAGCATGAAAGGATAAGTGTAAACACTCACGAACCCTTCCACGTGAGTGGTGATCGCTTCTTCTGGTGCCGGTATCACAACCTCTTTATTTTTCCAGTTGCAATCTTTCTTCACCTGCTCGAGGAGGCTTTTGGGTATCAAGCATATATATCTCGATATCGGCTCGCATTGACTAGGAACCGATGAGGGTTTCTCAACCTTAAAGTCAGAATCTATGAAACACCCCTCGGTAATAAGTTCTTCAGGGCGTGGCTCCACTACCAGTTTTGAACTGTTGTTGTGAAACCGATAAATAGCCCTCTTCTTCATTATTTCAAACTTTACTTTCAAATCTTTTTCATTCCAATCTCCATAGTTCTTTGCCTTCTTCAAAGCTTCATATCTTCAGATCTTTGAGTTTTTTTGCTTGTTCTTCCTAAAACACCAAATACTTCAGTCTCCATTCTTCTTTGCCCACAAAAACTAAATGGCCAAAGCATCTAAAATTATTCCGCAGAAAGAGGTTGCTTCCTCATCTCGATTACGTCATGATCGAAGACTCAAATCATTTCTTGTCATTACTCTCTAAAAAAATGAGGGGACTATCTGTATACGGTCAAAATCAGGCTTGCCCGATTTTGTATGGTTAATCGAGATCGGGGTGGCAGACCGAGGTTCAATCCCAAGTTATATTGGATCGTTATATGAATAAATATTGCCTAGCTCGTGATTCAGGGATCGATCGAGATCGAGACCAGCTAAGATCGAAACCGAGAAGGATAGAGATCTAGCGAGATCGAAGGAAGCCTGATAAGTCAAATAACAGAAAGTCGAGGAATCCGTGACCGGGCGAGGATTGTGGCGGAGATCTCGACATGTATCAAGTCCAGGCCGATTGATTAGCCAATCATGGGATTTCCTTCTGTATTTAGAATTGTACCATATGTAGAACTCCTCTACTATATAAAGGGGGTTCCAATCATTTTGTAAGGACAGATTCACGCATAACAAAGCAATATATTACGTTTTCTCTCTTAAACTCTCTTATTCAGTAGTTCAGTTCTTACTCTTCAATAATACACTTAGTTGGTGCGAGAGCAACCTAGCTCAAGGGCCAAAGTTGTATGATATATCGGTTTGCTTTATTTTACAGTTAATTTCTAATTTCAATTTTTATATTTCTCAGTTTGTGCCAAGTGAAATCACATATCCTTAAAATCACTTATAAATTTAATTGTTATCCGATTTTAAGGATAAACGAGATTAACACTGACGAGTTATTACCATCAATGAAAGAATTTATACTTATGCGACAAACTTGAAGAATTTAGTTAAGAAATTGGTATATTATGGAATCAGCTCTAAACTTTCAAGTAGAATGGATATTAAAGAAAGGGATACAGTATCTTTTTGATTTCATGTTAAACAGTTGGGCCGCACTGTATCTTGTGTGCTTGTAATTGCGGAGATAAATGACTCCACATCGGACGGTGGAAAAACACATCAGCTTCCATACTTCCCCTTTTACCAATACGCCGCTTTACGCCATCTGTGCTCACTCCCAACTCCCACCGATCTTTCTCTCGTGAAGCACTTCCTTTTCCCGCCTATTAAAACTCCTCAATGCAACTCCAAATGCTCTCTCAATCTCACTTCCTTTCTCTAAATCCCCGCACCTCTCTACCTCTTTCCTCATCAATCTCCGCCGTTAATAGCCGGAGAATCGTCTCCGATTCGCTTGCTTTTCCACATTCCGATACCAATTCGTTCGCAATCTCAAGCGGAGTCAAATTATCGTCGCCTACGATGACTTCGAATTGTATTCTCGCTAATCACGGAGATATTGCGGATTTAGGCATTGAGAACTCTGAGCTCGACAAATTTGCTGCTGTAGGTAACAAATTAGCTGATGCTGCTGGTGAAGTCATCCGCAAATATTTCCGGAAAAGCTTCGATATTCTCGATAAAGAAGATTCGAGTGAGTGTTTTGTTGATTTTAATTTACGCGGATAAATTGCTTGCGAATGTTAACTATCCGGAGATTTTTTTTCAAATGTTTGTGGAAATTTATGGTTAAAGGTCCGGTGACGATTGCTGATCAAGCGGCGGAGGAATCTATGGTGAAGATAATTCAAGAGAATTTCCCTTCCCATGCAATGTGAGTTAGTTTTTGCTCTCACTAGTTTTCTTATTGCTCGCTTTAATATCGCTATCTTTGTATACACTAACTAACAATGTAAAAATTCTTACCAGTGATTTTTATCATGTCATTTACTATTTTTATCTGATTAATAATTTATGTCTATCAAAAATATTACATGTAATTATTAATAGTGGCCTAATCGTGTAGATATTTTCTATGACGTCCGTGCATAGAACTTAGTCTCTCCATTTTTCACTTCTAATTGATCGATGAGTAGGCTTCCCCATTCGATTCACGCAGAGGCGGATCCAGGATTTGATGGCTACGGGTGCCACTATTTTAATGTAAAACGACCACTAGTGAAGAAGATTGAATTAGGGTGTACATTTAGTCGATTCGATCCGTTTTGGATTACTTTGGTTCGGTTCGATCCATTTTGAATTTATTCAATCCAATTTAAAATTTGTTTTATGCATAAACGAATATGTGATACACCCCTTCCATCTACATGTAGCTGATTAATATTATACTATGTCTTTGATGCATCACTATAAAAAAATTGTAATTAATAAAATAACATTATATGGATAAAAAGAAAATGATTAGATTATATCCATCCAAATAAAATACGAACATCCAGGAAAAGACAAAGGAAGTAAATATATAATATAAATAAATAATAAAATTGGAATTCTACAAGAAAACTGAATATTTAAGATGAAAAAAATAAGAGAAATTAACAAAAGGAACATAAATAATAAAATTGGATCTGTATAAGAAAAGTGAATATTTAAGATGAAACAAATAAGAGAAATTAACAAAAAGAACATAAAGAAAATAAAGGCTAAAAGGGAACAATGAGAGCATCTGGAGAGTGGATCCCGGGTGTTGTGCATGGAATTTCAGAACTTCAACCATGGCACCTTCAGTCATTTTGTGACTTGGGGTGCCACTTGTTCCTTATGTAGGCGTTTTTGTGGAAAATACTAGTATGTATATAAAACTTTATCTGAACGACCGGGTGGCATGCCACCCCCAATTCCATACATAGATCCGCCCCTGGATTCACGGAATGTGATTTTTTTGACAGCATTCGAGAGGAGTATTCCCTATTCCAATATGTGTGCATGTTAAAATTTTAAATTGAATGGCCTACGGATGGACCGACCATTTTCAGCTTGGCATTACTGTTGCTTTTAGCTCAGAATGGCTTATCTTAGTATGACGGTTAGCATATGATATTTGTCAACATAACCTCACACTCGCCATAGGGAAAGACCACTATCTCGTTGTGATTATGTACTTGCTGGAAAACTTATTTTTTCTGACATGCCATATCTCATTCTATCGAGAGCCGAAAGATAAATCGTCTAGAAAAAAGCGCAGGCAGTAAAGTTAAAATGGATCTTATTTGCTGAAAAGCTCCCGTGCTTTGAACTTTGATAAGACAGTAATAGAATACAAGTGAATTTTCCACAAATTTTAACTGGTAGCCCAGTCTATCTGCTTGTGTAGGATCGTCCTCGTGGTAGCTGAATACCATTCACTTTTAATTCGATGGGCACAAGTCAATGCAATTCTTATAGTTTTTGTTCTTGATATTCTGTATTGTGTCATCGCCAGTGTGTTGGAATAAAAATGGAAGGCTGTCTTTCAATGCCGTTGACTCCTTAAATCATTGGTCAAGAGTTAAAATGATGCTTTTCCTGATATCTATATTGGAGACCTTTTGTCTCTGTTTCATGTATTACACAATCTGTGTACGCTTGCTGAAAATCTGTGTTTAAACTGCTTGGTGATAGTTATGGAGAGGAGAAGGGATGGAGGTGTAAGGAGGAAATTGCAGAGTATGTTTGGGTTTTAGATCCAATAGATGGGACGAAGAGTTTCATTACAGGTACCTGCTTGTCTTTCCCATATCAACTCTGTTTAACTTGTAGTTCAAATATTCATGAATCAGTATACTTTTTGCTTACCAGGGAAACCCTTGTTTGGCACTCTTATTGCTCTGTTGTACAAAGGTAAACCGGTATGAATCGCTAGCCAGTTGATTTTATTTTTATCATTAATAAGCCTTGTTTGCTATTAGATCAATGAAAGCTTGCTTATTACTACTGTCAACTATCAATTTTTCTCCAAAACTTCATTCGTGTCGACAGTGTTTGCTAGTTGGAAATCCAAGGGTTATTTTACACTAAAACAGCGTCTGTTGGCATACTTTTGATTTTCTAACTGTAGCTAAGAAAATTTGCTCTTGGCAGAAGACATCGGGTATAACTTATAAAAAAGGAAACGGAGATAGATACTCATGCACTTATAAACCAAAAATAACAGCAAAAGGGGAAATTTGAGGTTCTCATGTAGACTCTGCCTAAATGTCTACAAGAGATTTTCTGTACCAAATACAATTGAATATCCATATTGAGAACATGCTTAATCGCCTCTTTATTTCATTTCCCTCACAACAGTGAAGTCCTAGATCACTTGGTTCATGCATGGTTCCTGTATGCATTACTCATTTGGTTCTATACCTGTATATGTTTTCCCTCTTCTTGAAGGGCGAAAGGTCTGATGCCTGAGTTGGAATATTGATGTCTGTTTAAGAAATTAGCAATATAACATAGGTGCTTTTGCCTTTTTGATTTCTTAATAGCTGTGAACATAATATTATATCTATGCTTTCTTTCCTTAGTGCCATATGGGATCACTTGTGTTAGTAATATTGTGTTCGACTCTGGAACCACCTCATTTAACTTTCTCATGTTGTAATGAAAGTTCCAGCCTAGGATACTATCTTTAATCTCCTTATATTATGCTCCCGTAGACTGTTAGACACATATGCAGATAAACTGTGTTTTCAAAAGTTTGTCTATGTGATTTCTTCATTCATGCTTTTCCAGATTCTTGGCATTATTGACCAGCCTGTACTGAAAGAGAGGTGGACTGGTTTAAGTGGGCGGCGCACTAGCTTGAATGGGCAAGAAATCTCCACTCGCAGTTGTTCAAGTCTTTCAAAGGCCTACCTGTACGTTGCTCCTTGGAACCTTTTCAGTTTTCTCTATAAAAGATAGAACATTGTTATTCACCTTCAAGTACTTGTATTCTGTGTATATGTTCAATTTCTCAGGGTTATCAAAAGTGTGCTACATCTACTTCTCATTTTCATTCTTTCTTCAAGTTCAGGTACACTACTAGCCCACATTTGTTCGAAGGCGACGCCGAGCTTGCCTTTGCTCGTGTTAGAAGCAAGGTATGTAATTCTATGGCCAAAAAATCATTGGATAGAGTTCTAGCTAATGTGCAATAAAGATAGCAAAAACTAGGGAATGAGTGCAATGAGAAGATCTGAGTAGGGAAGAAACTGAAGAAGAAGAAGAGAGAATGAATAAGTTTCACTCTCTTTCCTCCACTATGAATTCTTTATCTCTTTTCACATCTTAAGAATAGTCTTTTATTTTTTATCGCTTTTTGGTGCACTTATATAGCTCCTACTTGTGTAGAAGATTGGGCGTCTTTTGCAGAGAATCATGTTTTGATATAAATTCTCTACTTCTTGGTATACTTCTTGTATACGGGAGTTTTTTCTCCCTTTTGATTAATACAATTTACCTTATAAAAAAAAATGAATTCTTATCTCTTCCCTCTACATTTGTTACAGGTGAAAGTTCCACTGTATGGATGTGATTGCTATGCTTATGCCCTATTGGCTTCTGGATTTGTGGATCTTGTAATAGAGTCTGGTCTTAAGGTCAGCTACTCACTCCTTGCAACCTAGAATAATAAAGATATGATTTTTACTTCCCCAAATGTGCATATTGAGCTTTTTCCCTCCTTATAGAGGACAGCTAGCGTCTCTTTGGTTATGTCCAACATTACCAACTGATTGAAACTTCGGTATATACCCTGCCTGATAATATTGGTGCAGGGGCGAAAATTTCGCTGTTTTACTTCCCTCAGCCAGTGACATTAAATTGCTTTTTTGGTTTTCACAATCTCTATGCTGAGTTAAAAACAAAAAATTCCAGCCATACGACATCCTCTCACTTATACCAGTAATAGAAGGTGCCGGAGGAATTATAACCGACTGGAAAGGACAACAACTTACTTGGGAAGCTTCTGCTGGTTCACCAGCCACAAGTAATTCTTATCACTGTTCTCATTAAAAAATATCATTTCATATACACAACCTAACCATGCATGTCTGAAAATATGTCCCAAGTCGATATGTGAATTAAATTCGGTGTTCAATTGGCAGGTTTCAATGTAGTGGCAGCAGGTGATAGACAAGTTCACCAGCAAGCTGTGGATGCATTGCAGTGGCAGTAGGCGCAGCAATATTTCAATTTATGTAGTTGAAGTTGTTCATGGAGGAGATTAAGAAACAAAGGGATCTCATTGCATAGGCTTAACTCCCTTGGGCGTACATGAATGCTATTAAATATTTTCGACCTAGACTCTAGGTTAATTTAAATTGTTAAACTGAATTATGGTAGTCCACTGTTGTAACCTCACACTGTTAATTGGTTCATCTGACTAATTGACTACTTGGCTTTTCCTGTTCTCAGTCACGTTATTTGATGTCAAAAATTCGATTGGATCCCTCTGCTGTATTGAGTACCACAGCCTATATACCACCTGAGGATCAAAGTTAAACGTCTGTTTTTCTTTAAGGATCTAAGGCCAATCATAATTCAGTACATAGAAACGCAAATACAGCAAATAAACATCCACCATGTATCTTCTATTCTGCCATCCTTCAACGGATGTGAAATAAAACTCAGTAGAGGCAGCTGCTTTTAGGGAAAGGGGTGGCTGCTTTACATAATCTAAAATACAGAATAAACAAATCTCAAATGGCACAAGCACAGTAAAGCGAAGATCGCGTCCAGTTGTGTCATTTGGTCCGAGGCCCTTGCACCCGCGCTTATTCCTTACCAAAATCAGCACTGTAGTGAGCACTTGATTCAAGTTTCTTTGCTTCATTCAGTTTCCTTACCGCCTACAGGAAAATGAAGATAGAATAGGAAGAAAGAATTTAGGAACACAAAAAAGAAAAAGTAACAAAGTAGAAGCAACAACGCATCTCGAGTAGTTGTAAAAATCTAAAACCAGAGTGCTTCACATGATAAGACGCGTGTAGATTAACTATGAGTCAGTACATTACTCTTTTAACAAGCACCAACACTTTGGTAGCGTGAAGAACTCTATAGGGTGAAACTCAAAGAAAAGCCAGGCAGTGAAATTAAAAATTACCACTTTGCTAACAGAAATCTTGGAAAAGAAGACCAATACCTTCATGAAATCCTCATGGATGACATAATCACGCTCTGCACGAATTGCAGACATACCGGCTTCAGTGCAAACATTCCGCAGATCAGCCCCATTAAAACCCTGAGGATAAAAAATGGTGTCAGAAATTGACGCGACAAAAGTGATATAATAGTTTTTCATGTTAGCATCATTAACCCACCTCAGCAAGCTTGACAACAGCCTCATAATCAATTTCACCATGTTTGGCTATCCCAGCAGCATGGATCTTGAGGACTTCCATTCTTGATTGTTCATTAGGCAATGGTATCTCTATCTTTCTATCTAACCGACCAGGGCGAAGAAGAGCTGGGTCCAAAACATCGGGTCTATTTGTTGCCATAATCATTTTTACCTGAAAAAAATAATTAAGATTAAAACAACACAGGCAAACAGACAATATCCCAACCCCGTCTTATGCATTCTGCTCTTTCCTAGGAGTATGTTCAAATAATTTGAATTCCGCGCCTAAAACTAAAAAGTAAAAAGATATGTACTAATCAAAAGTAGAATCTGAACTTGGATGTCACTTTTACTCCCCTTCAGGTGGAAAACCTACAGATAGGTTATTTAAAGGGTGCATCATTTTATGCACAGATTCTAACATTAGGATACCATAAAACAACTTACCTTTCCTTCCTTAATCAGCATATTTAATCAAACTTGAAGAATTCAAAGAGACTGAGTATGAAGGATGCACATCATAGATCGTGGACTATGGAACAAATCCCAAAACATTAGAAACATACATTTAAGATAAATCTATACCTTGCCGAGCTGGTCGAATCCATCCAACTGATTAAGCAACTCCATGAGCGTTCTTTGAATTTCACGGTCTGCACTTGTTCCCTCGCTAAAACGACGTCCACCAATTGCATCAATCTCATCCATGAAAATGATGCAAGGCTACAAAAAAAGACAACGATACTCAGAAATTTTATGGCACCTCCAGGAATCAACAGTCACATGCAATTGAAGTCCTTACTTGGTGATCACGAGCATAATTAAACATTTCCCGGATTAATCTTGCACTCTCACCTATGTACTTATCAATAATGGCACTTGATACAACCTGCAGCAATCACCAATTATAAAAGCCCACACTGTGAGATGCTATTAGACAGGAGGATATATCTAAAACTCTAGTACTCTAACCTTTAAGAAATTGGCGTCTATATTGCTAGCGATTGCTCTTGCTAACAATGTCTTGCCCGTTCCAGGCGGCCCATAGAGAAGAACACCCTGAGACAGAAACGTTGGTTGCTTCAGAAGCAATATTAAAAGCAAAAGTGATCTTTGCCATGCTGACAAACTTAAAAGAATCTGTAAAACACAAGATTAAGTTGAAAGATTCACCTTTGGAGGCTTAATCCCAACCCGAAGGAAAAGCTCGGGGTTCATTAGAGGTAACTCTATGGATTCTCTCAGCTCCCTGATCTGATCTGACAGTCCACCTACCGCGGAGTAACTTATGTTACCAGGATCTTCATGAAGCATGTTGTGTACTACAGGATCAACCTGTCATTAATTTCTCAACATAAGGAAATTGGGAACGGACGAATATTATATTTTAAACATAAACCAAAACATTTGGCGCTTGCAAGCAAACAATAACTACTGACTTCACGGGGGAGTGCTCGCATAATTGTAAGCGTCGTCATATCGAGAACCACTCTGGTGCCTGAAGTCAGTTTTTCCTTGTCCACTTTACTGCGACAGCCGACCACATACCTTGGGCCGCTGCTAGCTTTAACTATCACTGATACGGTAATGGAAAAAACTGGTTAGTCCCATGAATTTCTTCCACTTCCTTAACAACTTCTTTCATGTCAAAAGCAGTGTTGTCAAAGGGGCGCATAAATCACGCTTATCGCACCAAGGCTTTAACGCATACTTTTCCTTACCAATGAGTGTAATCCTGAAAAGGCGACATTAAACAATTGATATTTCACTTTATCGTAATTTATTTTCCAATTTCTTTGTCCATATATTTGCTATTCATGCTTATAATTATTAGTCTTAGACTACATATACATATTTTTACTTTTTCTCCGGTTGCGCCTTTTTTCATTAAAGCCCACACATTATTTGCGCTTTGCGCTTAAAGCCCCAACGGACCTTAGAGCTTTTTTGCGCCTTTGATAACACTGGTCAAAAGAAAAGGAAAGAAACCACAACTTTGTGGTCAATAGCACATTCCGAGGAGTAAAAAACTAAATGAATATTAGTCAAGATAAAGGGTACTTACAACGCTCATTATCTAGAGGTCTGAGCACTTCTCCTATGATCTGTCCAACACTCTGAAGAGACTTTAAATCATCTTCGGTTTTAGCATATTCTTTTTTGGTAGCCCGCAAGTTTTCTCTCACTGAGCAGAGCAACTTTATAATCAGGAGAAGCAATAGAATAAGAGAAGATAAAAACAATATGAATACTATGAGGCTTTGTAGACCACGAATTTAAGTTGCTTATCAGCTCATAGAAAAACAAGTTAACAGATGGAACAAATAATAAAGTACAGATAAAATGTATCACTAGCCTCATGATCACTTATAAAAAATAATATGCTCTAATTTATGCTCTAATATTTTCCCTCTCAATCTCTGATGTATCACAGGCAAGGTCGCAAACTCCAAGAAACTAAGGACACAGTAACAGAGAATATGGTGAGAGACCACATACATAAGCTCCAATTTCCAAATGAGAAGCATTGGTTTATCAGAGTTTGATTTGAGATCTGTAATGAATATGTCAACCAAGAAACGAGATAGCTACACCATCCTTTATGAATAAAGGGATAGATTTATTCATAAGATTATAATATTTCAAAGCATGCATAAATAAATCATCAGGCTATAGTTTGTTGGCTGATGAAGGTATGACAACCCCGACCCAGCAGCACTTGTACTTGTGGTGTTGAGACTTGAGAGGCATTTAGTGAAGAACAGATCTAAAAAATGGAAAGACCAGAAGGATTGGCACAATCTAGTCAATGGTTTTGCGCATAAAAAAATGTTGATTATCAGAACAGGAATCCATTGTCCATCGAGCAAGAATTGTTGATAACGAAGAAAAGATATGTAGCAACTATCATTTGCAAGATCGAATCTTTATGAAACCTTCTACATTAGGTTACATTAAATTATATAGGCCACCATGTTTTACCCCGAACCTTGAAAATTCACACATATGTATTAAGTTCCCAAAATCATATAGTATATATACATACATGTGTGTGTGTGTGTGTGTGTGCGCGCACGTGCGCACATATGCAAAAAAGGACTTAAGCCAAGATACTATGATACATCATATGAGGTAAGGAATAATGAGTAACAATTTAGAATTTTAGAAGTCAGAATCTGTATAAAGGAAGTGACTTTTACACATAGTTTAACGGATTTGTTCACTTGCATTGGCTTCTTATTTGCTGTTCAACACTTTAATCTTTAAAAGTTCTTCCTAAAATTAAAATACAAACTCACCCGCTCCTATGCTTATCATCTGTCTACTCACCTGAAGCAAGTGAAAAGCACAATTATTGGCTGATATACGCATTTGAATTGTTGGAAGTGCAACATAGAACCTTATAGATTCTTATACCATTCAATGAAACTCGACGCGTTCTCTATTATTATTGTTCTTTTCATGTAATGCTTAATTTCAACATGAAGCAATCACATTTTAATGCACATTGTCATAACCATGGCAATACAATAAATCTCACACAAGTATCAGGCGGGTTCAAACATATAAGAATTTAAACTCTTAACATATCAACAATTGCTGCATCGACTTTCTGCATAGAACATACAGTATCTAATCTCACAGAAGAACAAAAGTTCCAAGCATCGAACTGAAGAATTATCACCTAATCTACCTCATTTAGGAGTAAATAATTCTATAAATTGATGATATTGAACATACAAAAACACTAGAGCAAACCGAAATCAATATCAATTATTAGATCACTAGGGTTTAAGATTGAGAATGTGACCTGTCCGAACACGAGCATCAAGCTCCTTGTGCTGAAGGAGCTTCTTCCGATAGTCGGCGAGTGCCGTACGGCGTCGGGCGGCTTCTTCTTCGGTAGACATAACGGAATTTGCTCAAAGATCTGTGGAAACTGCTTTCTGATATCGGTGGTGAACAACTCTCAACTTGAGAACCAAGAAATGTATAGATCCCTTGTTCGGAAAGTACAATACTTTGAGCACACCGTTGCTATTAATTATTATTCCGACGTATAGTAGGGGAAGA